CACCCTCCTATCTGCCAAATCCTGTTTCGATCTCTCTTCAGATCACACGCCCATCCTCATTTCATTATCCTTTGAAACAATTCCTCGTGCTCCACAACCCAGCCTCTTCAACAAAAACACAAACTGGGACTACTTCCGTTTCCTCATCTCTGAACAACTTTCCCTAAATATACCACTTAAAACTACCGATGACATAGAATCTGCAGTCCACAACCTCACTACTCTAATTCAAAGAGCAGCCTGGTCATCCACTCCAGAATCCTCTCCCTCCCCTCAAACCGTTAGTTGCCCACTCACAATCAAACAAAAACTACTTGATAAAAGACGACTACGCAAAGCTTGGCTCCGCTTCCGCTCACCAACCACCAAATCACTTCTAAACAAAGCCTCTCGAGACCTAAAGCAACTTATCTCTGATCACAACAACCTCCACTTTCAGTACTATCTGGAACATCTCTCCCCCGCAGCCTCATCCGACTATTCTCTCTGGAAAGCCACCAAGAAAATCAAACACACTTCTCGTCCCTCTACCCCTATCATTACTCCTCAAGGCTCCTGGGCACGCTCCAACATTGAAAAAGCTCACACCTTTGCCACCCACCTGTCAACTGTTTTCAACCCTCACCCCTCTAACACCCCCCATGAAGAAGAAACCTCACTTGTATCTTCCTTATTCTCTCCATACCAACTCGACCCAACTCCTCCACCCTTCAGGCAATCAGAAATTCAATCAACAATAATCAAACTTAACAACAAAACTTCTCTTGGCTATGACCTCATCACTGGAAAAATCCTCCAAGAACTACCCCCAATCTGCATCAAACACCTCACTCATCTCATCAACGCTTCCCTCCGTGTCGGATTCTTTCCCGACCAATGGAAAGTTGCGCAAATAATCCTAATTCCTAAACCTGGTAAACCCCCTCACCTCCCTACCTCCTATCGCCCAATAAGTCTTCTCCCCATTTTGTCCAAAGTCTTTGAGAAACTCCTCTCCCATCGACTACTCTCTATAGTCGAATCCCTTCACATTCTCCCCGATCAACAATTTGGATTTCGCCAAAGACACTCTACCATCCACCAAGCCCACAGAATAGTAAACAAAATTCATGAAGCACTAGAAACTAAACAGTATTGCTCGGCAGCTTTCCTCGACATAACACAAGCTTTCGATAAGGTCTGGCATACTGGCCTTTTGTGCAAACTGCGGCAGTTTCTCCCCCTCAATTACTTCCTACTCCTCAAATCCTACTTATCTAACAGACACTTCCGTGTCAAAGTAGACAACAACTATTCTGACCTTTTTCCGATTCATGCAGGTGTCCCCCAAGGAAGTGTCCTCGGCCCCCTCCTTTACCTCCTCTACACCTGACATCCTAACCTCTATCAATACCACTATCGCAACCTTTGCCGATGACACAGCATTACTTGCAACCGACTCAAACCCAGTCACCGCCTCCCTTAACCTTCAAACCAATCTCAATTCCATTCAAAACTGGCTCTCTATTTGGCGCCTGAAAGCCAATGAATCCAAGTCCGTTCATGTCACCTTCTCCAATCATAGACTCCCCTGTCCTCCAGTATACATTAATAACAAACCTCTTCCCCAAGCATCAAACGTTAAATACCTCGGACTCCACCTAGACAATCACCTCACACGGACCAATCACATCTTCACCAAGAGGAAGCAACTGGGACTCCTACTTTCCAAATTAACTGGCTACTAGGACGTAGATCCACTCTCAACCTCAGCAACAAGCTACTCATCTACAAGATTATCCTGAAACCAGTCTGGACTTATGGTATCCAGCAATGGGGTTCTGCCTCCAGCTCTAACATAGCAATACTGGAGCGCTTCCAATCAAAGGTTCTCTGCCTGATAACAGATGCCCCATGGTATGTTTCCTACGCTATCATCAGCCGTGACCTTCAGATTCCAACAGTAAAAGAAGAAATTAGTCGTCTCAGCACTAGATATAACGCCCATCTCAGCAAACACCACAACCTCCTTGCATCCCGCCTCACGAGGTCGCCATCAATTCGCAGACTGAAGAAACACCACCCCTTCGACCTGCCTAACAGATTTCAGTATACGTAGCTCTAAATCTATTATGTAAATCCTAGCTAATTCTTTCCATTCGCCAACTTGGTCTCCGACCAACAGCCCATGGATCATCGCTAATGAGCGTATATCCGCAAGCCACCTCAACTGTCATATCATTATGCTGAATGTATACTACAGATTGCATAATAAAATTGGGAGTCTTTAAAAAAAAAAATATTGGGTTCAATCTCATCTCTGCCAAAATATATCTTTAACAGTATTATACCATTTATGGTGATGCTTATCTACCAAACTGCCATCCAGTGTGACTCAAATGTTAGCCCATAATCACATATAAAACATCCTAGAAGTTGGTTCACTGTGGGGTATAAAGTTTCACAGTATTCCATATCTAAATAGGAACACTGCCAAATTTGTGCATAATGGATAGCTTATCACCATCATGCATTTTGAAGGCTTAGGTCATTATAAATCACAAGATTAGCTTCAACTCTTCACTGTCAAGTTGATGGCCCCAAATCTCACCATTCCCTCAGTCAACAATGGGGGGCCAAGAATGGAAGGCAACCTCTTTGCATTTTTTCTGGAGGACTTCTCCAGTTTTATTGCAGTTAACTTAAAAAAATTAATTTTCAAAACAATTTCAACTGACATTAAAGAATGGCAATAATATTAACTGCATCAGAAACATACTGAATATCTTAAATAAGCTGGAAGCAAAACAGTGAAATCTTGCTGTCATGCTTCTGTATAGTGCTCTTTGGTCTGTGCTGAAGTTCCACATAAACACTGCAGTTATTATACACATAATTACATATAATGGTACAAATGAGATGTATATGCTAAAAAAGATTTTAAATTTATACCTTACACTGGATAAAACATCAGATGGGTATGGGCATTTTATGCACCTAAGTGTGTGGTATGATTTGAAATAAAAACTAGAATGTTATAATGTGAAATACAATTTTCAGCAAAGCGTTTTCTGCTTAAACCATTCAAAATTCAACCTAAGTTACATTATAAATGAGGACATCAGCTGATGTACATATACACTGTAATTTCCGTCATCTTTCAAAGACTGTATATTTTATACAATACAAGGCATATCAGCCATCTTGTCTGGAACATAATGGCATTAACTTTTGGTATATTTTTATTTATATAGATTACATAGCTGGCTGATCAGTCAATTGCTTCTTAAAGCTGAACCAAGCTTCATATGTGACATGATACAATGATCATAAAGTATAATTTTGGAGAGATGAGAATCAACAGAGATATCTGATTTTGGGGGGTCATGGTTTATGCTGATTTTTAATTAGTACTCCTGTTTCATATATAGCAATGGCATAAAATCTTGCTATCTTGCTCCAGACACTAGTTACCCTGACCAACTTTTTCATGGTTTTCTCCGCCCTCTCCCAATGACTGGATGGCAGCCAGTACAATGCCCCAAATTTGGCAACAACTTTTTCCTTCAATATCTGTTCCAATTTATTATTCACTAATATGAGTTACTGACAGTGTCATTAGACAGTGGGATAGTTTCGGTAAACCACAAATACAAGTTACTTTCTCCCCTTTCACAACATGCATCAATACAAGTCTACTGCTTGCAACACTTACCACTGGGATCGATTCCTAGTGTTGATCCACCCGTATTCCCATTGGTAACGACAGTTGTTTCCAAAGAATCAATGGTGATGCTACCTGGTCCAACTTCCATGAAGAACTCCACATTACCTGGGGTAATGTTGAACGTGGGTTGAGGAACAAAGTTTTGCTCTGAATTCTGGGCTGCAGAAACATAACAGACACTACAGTTCATGTCTATGTCATAACATTCTAAGTGATGACACTCAGACTGATTCCGTTTTTAAAGATGCCTTACCAGGAGTACAAGTTAGGTGGCATTGAATGGTAGAATTTGTGGATGATGAATTGGAAGGCATGTGGAAGAAAGTACACATGGATTACGTATTTTAAAAATGCTGTCACAGTATTTTCTTGGAGGGATGAAAGAAATTACATGAGATGAGTGTACGATGACTAAATTTAAAAGACACCCATATATCACAACATGCAGTTACTCCTCATTATACGCAAGTTTGAAAAACGTGATTTAATTTTAACATGATCAACTAATTTTCACTGACTTCAATTAAAAGTGCCTGCTTTAATGTGAACTGCCTGCTGGCTGATTGGGAGATATGGGAAGACGAGCAGGTAGATTATTGTGTGGGTGTGCAGTGGAAAAATGAGAGGGAAGAAGGGTAAATTATGTTTGATTTATGTAATTTTACCTTCTGCAACTTTCCTTTTTTGAACACAAATATTGTATGAAATGACAAATTCCTTAACCTTTCTTCACTAATAGCAGATGAAGTAATCACCAATCCAAATTCCAAACCACACACTCACATAGTGCATACTGTATGCACTTCTAGTGCCCTCAGGCTTACCTTCAGAAGAAACCTGTTGTCTTTCAGACTGTGTCTGGGGTGCATCCTGAGCCTGGTTTGTGTTGCTTCCAGCAGTCTCAGATTGAACAGCTGAAGCATGACTGTCAGGTGGCGCTGATGGTGCTGCTGATGTTGCGTTGGAAACCGCTGAGGAATTTGCTGATGGCGAATTGTCATTCTCAGCATGTGTAGATGGCTGAGAGTTGTTGCTTGCATTCTGTCTATTGGCCATTACATTAATTTGGGCCTGAAAAAAAAAAAGGTCAGTCCATCAGAAGTGAAGGCACAAGATGTTAAAAAATATGACATATTGTGCAAATAATCTTCACTTACTTTCCCTTCACATGTACATATACAGTGTTTTGCACACCTCATTAGTAATCAAATGTTACAGTATACTGTCCACAAGTCTTGCTTCATTCTTGGTGGATTCGGGGTTCAATACTCGGTCTAGAGGCTGTGTTTAACTTGAGGTTTCCCATGGCTTTCCACACTCCTCCCATGTAAATACTGTGAAAGTAGCTAAAATCATCTCAGTGGCACATTTAAAGGCCAGCCCCTTACCCAATGTGGGAGGAGCTCCCACTGGTGATTTAAATTCAGATATGCCAAATAACATCATCTCCAAACTAGTATAACTATTGTTATCTCCTTATAATTACAATCAAAACCACTAAAATATGAAAAATATTCATTTGAAATATTTTCAGTATCTGTATTTGATAAAAGTTTACTAGCTGATGCCATTTCTACTAACAACTCATCTACAATTAACATTTGCAAGATCATTTGCTCAAAGAAAGATTAAAAAATCTGCAGGATATGAGGTTGTCACAGTGGTCGTTATGAAGAGTTCTCCTCTGGGATATAATGCTGTATAGTCCACTGGAAGTCAAGAAGAGCTCTGCTTGCCGTCTGCTTTCATGCTGGTTTCTTGCTTAGCTTAGTCTTTGACCCTCAAGACAGAAGTGATATGTTCCTCCAAAATGTCAGATGACTTTCAACAGACTACCTGACATTATATCCCAGGAGACAGAACTCTTCAATAAATATGGTCAACTAACACTAAATGATCATCTTAACCTTCTTCCTGAAGAATACACAAGTAGATTTCATGTAGTTCTAATACCATTTGTCAGTCAGAAGCATAAAGCACAAGGATTCATAAACGCACAGTGCATGGTACTTCACAGTGACAGGCAGTAATTGCATAGGATACAGTGCACAATGCTCCAAACCAATGGGTTAAAGCAAACCATGACTGGTTATTTTTATATTCTTCCAAATTCATTCACAATTATCATTTCACTTATCACATAACTGACACAGTTACATGAAAAAGTGCTTTGTGCAAACACACAGCAAATAACTATGGATTACATAACAAAACACTCTCAGTTTCTCAGTATTGGAAGAACTGGTTTCTGGTATGATAATTTTAGCTGCAGTGTTGTTAAAATTAGGTGGTTAAATTCTGAGCACTTATGAAAAATGCAGACAGATTGGATAATTACAAAACATATTGACAAAAATCAATAAAGATTTTACTGTACACAAAATTTTATTACCTGAATTGGTATCCCTGCCTGCAGTACTGCAGAATGTTGAATAAGCACTGGACGGCATCTCAAGTTACGTGGTGGAGGACCAGAGAATTCACACATGATGTCACTCATGGCATGATATGCATGAGAGAGGAAATGCATCACCTCTGACACAGAATTGAACACTCTCTGTGCATCTTGGAGTGCTGGTGACTGGAAATATATGAAACAATGCATTACAAAAATATGTTTACACTGCAATTTCATCAAATCATTACACAGTTTTCTCCAGCTATAACACTCCATACTATACATTTTCCAACCATATTGAAAAACTGTTTCATTTTATTTTCAACAAAAATGGTACATGTCACATCTTATATCTGCAAATGAAGAAAACGTGTAAAAAAAAAAAAAAAGAACATGATTCACTGATTTCTGGGAAACAGGGAGCTGGTACTTGTAGCAAACTTAAAAAAACTAATGCCTCCATGAAGTGCCTGTATATTTACAAAGACGAATCACAGATATTTCTGTTACTATCACTGTAATATTGTAGCCAGGATAGCGTAGTTGGTACAGTGACTGGCTATGGGATGGACAACCGATGGGTTGGAGTTCAAGTCCTGGTAGGGTCAAGAATTTTCTCTTCTCCACGTCGTCCAGCCCAGCTCTGGGGCCCATCAAATTTCCTATCCAGCGAGTACTGGAGGCTCTTTCCCTGAGGGTAAAGCAGCAGAGGTGTGAAGCTGACTACCCACCTCCAGCTAGTGCCAAGATCGAGAATATGTAGATCTATACATTCACTCCTCCATATGTCTTCATGGCATACTGTTTAATTAGTTAATTACAGAGACTTTACCTTTCTTTATCACTGTAACATATGCACACAATTAATCCACTTCCATACTTCAATTGTGGGTGTGTGCATGTGTCTGCGGTGGTTGGCAGGTAGAGGTCTGTGCAGATGGTTGGTGGAGTGGCTAGTTTGGTTGCTGCTTATATTTCTGCATTTCTCTCAATACAGGTACATTTTCCTCCCCAAAGGTCATTACTCTCAAATGTTATATATATATATATATATAAGGCTATAATTGACTTCACAGTAGCTTGGATTTCAAATAATTCTGATAAAAACCATCAAACAGCATTCAAACTCCTACACTGCCATAAACCACCAATGAGTTACACCACATCAGTATGTACATTACATACATCAGGTTCAAAGACTGGGTCATCTCGCATAAGCTGATGGTACTGTTGCAGAAATGGCTGCATACGTTCAGTAACACGGTTCAAATCATCCAGCAAGGCTGCCATGTCATTTGTTCTTGGGTATCTGAAACATGAAAAGAACATACGGTATTAGAAAACTTTATTTATTAATTACAACACTGTATTGGCTGCAGAATATGTAACTGGAAATAGCTGTATCATATGATGATATGAAGCACTTGTGGGCCCACACCATTCTAATGTACTTTCTCAGAAACTGACTTGAGGAATCAGAAAAATAAACATATACAAATACTAATTTCTTGGAATAATTTCAAACCTGGTACTTCCTGAATGTAAGTATCCTGTCACTGATCATACATGGACATTGTGGCATGACCAAACAACATGTACTGACAAACCCCAAGAATGTGTGCATAAAAGTATGTCATCAAACACAGTCCCATGACAATTCATAACCTTACAAACTACACAGTCCCATGACAATTCATAAAGCTTACAAACTATCTTCCTAAGATCAATTACCTTCTAATTTTCTCATGTTTCAAAACAGCCTCTTTACAAGAGAGTGACACCACAAGGCTCTGTATGCACTTCTGTTCTATATTCAGGCCATATGTTCACATCTGTATGGACTTCTATTCTCTGTTTTGGCCATACACCCAGCCCAATGCATCTTCACTTATTTGATCACAGGACTAATATTAGGCAAGGTATATATATATATATTACAAAGTTCCTCTTGTAATGTCCTTAATCCCAAAATTTTTGAATCTCTCTTGTGCCCAAATACTTTCCAGAACACTTTACTTCCAAATACTTGGAATTTAGGTTTCCAGCTAAAAATCAAATGGCTGCGTTTACAACTATAAAAAAGAAAGTATCATATTACACAAGCACATACACACCCACTTGTCCAGGCATGCATCCACACGATCATACACATATTCATTTTTTTTAGAAAGATGAATAAATATAAATTTTTTATAAGAAGTGAACAAATATAGTATGTCAGACATGAAATATCATGGGTACTCACTCCATAGACCTCCTGCTCTGATTTTCACTTCCTGAAGCTGAGCTGGGTTCAGATGAAGTGTGCTGTGGCACCTGTGTATTGGCCTCACCTGCCTCTGAACTGCTGACCTGCTGGTCCTGCTCAGTTCTTGTCCCTTCCTCACTGCCAGAACCTGACATAATAAAATCGCTGGATGTACAGAAATAACACAAAACTTTCAACCGTAAAAACACACTGTTCTGAACATATATACAGGGTGTCCCAGGAGGAATGGACCAAACTTCGGGAGGGTGTTCCTTATGTTAAAGTATGCCGATATAACCCAAAACACCTATGTCCAAAGTTGAACGGTTACGGAGATAATGGCCCGAGAAAAGTGTGGTCTTCTTGCAGGTCCACGCACTATAGCTGTCAGCTGAGACCCTTATCTGTTTGTCCTTGAGTGCTGTGAGTCACTAGCCGTAAGTTCATGCGCTGCCTACCAGAGCCTACAGATTACGTTTCGGCGGGGTCGTGAATGGGTGGTAAATTAGTTTGTGTGATGAGTTGCTGAAATGCCTCTTGTGTTGTTGTGTTGTCTTGTGGAATATTGTGATATGCATTTTGTGTGTGGATTTTGCGGTCACAATGCACGTGCTGCTGTTGAAGAATACCAAAGGCGTTTTCCTGATCGAAGGATTCCATCTCGAAGTGTATTTACACGAATTCACCAGACATTGCGTGATACTGGTTCTCTTCCAAGTGTTTCTGTGCACTCTGAAAGGCAGGATGTACGAATGATAGACACACGAGAGCACATTCTTGATA